AATAGAGTTGTGACTATTGTATACTATTTGTAAAAGTAATAGACTTTTAGATAAGCATTGTTTATTTTAAATATAACACTGATAATGAACAGTCACAGCTTGTGTACTTAATCTTTTCAACTTGTGAAATGAACACATTTGTGAAAGTGACAACAATTATAGCACTATTGGAATTAATTGCTACCTAAATTACCAACAATTATACATGTTAACAAACAACAGTAAATTAACAGTTATGAAAGCCAATCTGAGCAAGCGATTTACTCTACTGAGTGAAGCCTGCAGACACTGCTCTCTCTAGTTGGAGTCACTGTTTAAAAATTGCTAATTGTAGCCAAATGAACGTTAGAAATTGCTATATTTGTTGCTAGGTGATTTTTGAAAAAAAAAGGTTGCTAGGGTGGTATGAAAAGTTGCTAAATCAAGCAACAAAATTGTTAAGTTTGCAACACTGAGTGCTGCATCGTGAGCTCTTAAAACACTAGTAATCAATGATCGAGGGGGGTCTGGATGCAGACCTGGTGCACTCCAATCTGAGCTGCCTTTCAACCCCTTCAGACCTTAATTATGTTCCAAATTTCAGAAAAATGGGATGTCATGTGATGTCCATTGTGATGGACGCAGGGTCTGAAGGGGTTAATGCGCTCAGCTAGCCCCATCCGTCACAGTGACGTCACTCACTCTATTGAGTGCATTGTGTCTGAAATTGCATCGCTGAGTGATGCAATCTCAGTTTGCATCATAAAGGCTGCATCCAGATACTATTGCAATGATCCACAGGTGCGAAGGAGTCTACTCAATCAAAAACAAAAGACAGGAACAAAACACTAGAGGGCGACAAAATAGCATAAATAAATAAATAAATAAATGGCCATGCAACAATTGGATTTTCACAGTAATACGGACATAACAATGCATCTTCAAAAGATTATTACTGAAAACTGAATTTTTTCTAGATATTTAAATGTGAATATATAGAAAATGCTTCTTAATTTTAATATTTTTTTATATATTTGAATTTGAAAATATATTTTTAAAAAGTTTTAAATAAGTTTTAAAAAAGTGTCTGCAGAATAATTTAAAGGTCTTAAAACCTATATTTTATGGTGTAACCAACACAGCTACAGCAAATAAAATCGATAATGCGTGTTTTAAATGTCAAGTGTGCGAGTAATCAAAGATTGACGATAATTTATCATATTGTTTGCACTAATTAAAATCCTGGCCCACACATACAAACCATTCCAGCAACATTTTAACAGATGCAACATCTTTATTGAAGGTGTCAGTATGGTTAAAAAGACTGTAGTATTTACTATAAATTACTACAGTGTATTTTCATCTGGGTATAAAAAATAGATCTGAAAATAGATCTGCTGGCATATCTCAGAGACTCTGTTCTTGACCTTGCACTTTTTCATTAACATTTATTATTATTATTTACTTATGATATGCGTTTTCACTTTCTGACTCCAATGCCTGATTATTAAATTGTTAAAATGATTATAATTAAATGAAATATTCCTCAGAATGAAATATGATGTGTTCTTTGTAAGAGTGCACTTGCATTATCATAATATTTCATTGTCATTCAGGCATTATATAATGATGAGTGGCATAAAATGCTCTTAACATTATTATAGTTTATCGCAATATATTTTGGTGCAATATATACTACAACAAACAACAGACATCTTGACAGTCTTATATTTACAAACACATGTACACTTAACAGCCACTTTATTAGGTACACCTGTCCAACTGCATGTCATTTCTATACAGCCAATCACATGGCAGCAGCTCGCTGCATTTAGGCATGTAGACATGGTCAAGAGGATCTGCTGCAGCTCAAAGCGAGCATCAAAATGGGGAAGAAAGGGGATTTAAGAGACTTTGAACGTACAATGTTTGTTGCTGCTAGACGGGCTGCTCTGAGTATTTCAGAAACTGCTGATCTACTGGGATTTTCATGCACAACCATCTCTAGGGTTTACAGAGAATGCTCCGACAAAGAGGAAATATCCAGTGAGCGGCAGTTCTGTGGGCGCAAATGCCTTGCTGATAAGGCCAGAGGTCAGAGGAGAATGGCCAGACTGGTTCCAGCTGATAGAAAGGCAACAGTAACTCAAATAAGCACTCGTTACAACCGAGCTCTGCAGAAGAGCATCTCTGAACACACAACACGTCCAACCTTGAGGCGGATGGGCTACAGCAGCAGAAGAGCACACCGGGTGCCGCTCCTGTCAGCTAAGAACAGGAAACTGAGGCTACAATTCACACAGACTCACCAAAACTGGACAATAGAAGATTGGAGAAACGTTGCTGCTCTGATGAGTCTCCATTTCTGCTCACACATTCGGATGCTCGGCTCACAATTTGGCCTCAACAACATGAAAGCATGGATCATCCTGCCTTGTATCAGCGGTTCAGGCTGGTGGTGGTGGTGTAATGGTGTGGGGGAGATTTTCTTTGGGTCCATTAGTACCAATTGAGCATCAACGCCACAGCCTACCTGAGTATTGCTGCTGACCATGTCCATCCCTTTATGAGCACAGTGTCTCCATCTTCTGATGGCTACTTCCAGCAGGATAACGCAGCATGTCATAAAGCTCAATCATCTCAGACTGGTTTCTTGAACATGACGATGAGTTCACTGTACTCAAATGGCCTCCAAAGTCACCAGAGCTCAATCCAATAGAGCAGCTTTGGGATGTGGTGGAACGGGAGATTGGCATCATGGATGTGCAGCCGACAAATCTGCAGCAACTGTGTGATGCTATCATGACAATATGGAGCAAAATCTCTGAGGAATATTTCCAGCAGCTTGTTAAATCTCTGCCATGAAGGAGTAAGGCAGATCTGAAGGCAAAAGGGGTCCAACCCGGTACTAGTAATGTGTACCTAATAAAGTGGCCGGTGAGCATATGTGTTTATAAATGTATATAATAGTGCTCATTATATATGTGTTGACTCCTCACAGATCTCTCTTTTACATTAATATTTTCTACAGGATACTTTACAGCAATATATTTGGACATTAGAACTAACTGGAACTAATCTTACAAAAAAAAAAAACAGAAAATAAGTCCAAATACTGTCAGAGATATACCTGTGCAGCAAAAAAGACCCCTGCAGCCATAAAACTTAACCATATACATACATATGAATATTAAATTTCACACACAAATACTGAATAATTATGAATAAAACCATTATCTAAAAAAAGGAAACCAAAATAAGCAAAAACAGGGATATGTGGTTTACCTATCTCAGAAATAAAAGTGCTAATTGGTCTATGTTTGTATGTATATACATATTAGTATCGTCCTAAAAAGTACAAAAGTGTTCCTCTTAATTTTTTTAGGAACTACTTTATACTTTTGAGGTACCATTCAAGTACAAATGTGTACCTTTTGAACAGGTACCACCTCAGTGACAGCTCGCATACCTTTATTTCTTCATTTCTGAGAGTTGACCATTAGAACTAGCATCATCCCAAACACGTGAAGTAAGTTACATTTTACTCACGTACAAAAACAATTTGCCTTCACTTTAGCCTACTGTAAACACACAAGCTGACACCATTTTAAAGACAACATAAATATGCTTATTCACTTACTGACCTCGAATCCATCCTCGTTTGAAAACAAGTAGCAACAGTCTGACGTAAACACGTTGTTTCAGTCGCGGTTTGGAATGAATGCGTCAATTAATCCGCCATCTTGGTACAGGGTAGCGCTTCAGCTACAGCCGGAAGTTAACGATATTATTTACTTTATTTATTAAATTAACCAAATTAAAAGGCGCAGTGGCGTATTACCCATGAAATCTTAACAGAATTGTCATTGTTTATAATAAATTATCCATTTATGAAATTATAGATTTACAAATCAAACCTTGCTTATGATTTTACCTCAGCATTAAATGCTTAAATTTTCTCCGTATCTCTCGCGACGACTTCAGGTAAGCATTCTGAATCACTGTTATACATAATGTCTACATTATACATAAAGCTTCTGGCACCAGCATTTTGCTATCCTATTTCATTACGTTTTCGATGATTTTTTTTTAATAAAAGCATTAGCCTACATTAAGTCCAAGTTAGCACCCTTTGCCTTATGGTTAACTAATGTAAAATCACATTACTTATAGAGTACAGCATTTCATAACATACAAAAATCATTAAAAACAACGAAATCCAATCTATGAAGGATTATGCCTTGTATCATCAGTGGCATCCCATCTGCCATATTGGTCCATTCAAAGCTGCATTAATGAAAATTACATAAAAAAAAGCTGTAAATATGAATATTTCTCTTTTAAAAAAAAATAATAAAATAAAACCACAGGTGCATTACAGGAGATCTTTAATCACCTCTGGAGCTGTGCTTGGCCATTTTTATCATGAACAGATCTGCTTTATTAGATCTGATTTGGCCCGTTGAAGAAAAACAGCCACCCACTACAATTGTCAAATGTTTTTGTGTTTTACAAACTGCAATATTTAGTTTTTCTTTTTGTATTATTAATTATGTTTAATTATTTTATGGAATTATGTATTGTTGATTATTTGTGTGATTAATAGAGTTGGCCCACATTCATTTTTAACCCTTGTGTGCACACTGTTGGGTGGTTTTCACCAGCTCTGGGCTGATTTTTGTCTTAATTTGGCCTCAACCCTTTTGGGTTTCAAATCTTTTGACACATTTTGGGGAAAAATGCTTAATTTTTCTGAAACTCAGACTCTGGACAGTTTTACTGCCCTTTGGTTATGTTGATGCTGTTTTGCCCCATTGAGTTCCATAATTAAATATAAAATTGATTGCAAAGCCATGACAACAGATCATGATGCACTCTTGGCTGTACGTTTTTTTTTCATGATTTTTTTTTTGCTGTATGGTCATTTTAAATTTGTAGTCTTAATTTGCATCCTTCTACATTTAGCTGCTTTGACAAACTACATTGTAAAGGGGCAGATATAAAAACTGATTCACAGCGTACACCATTTACTTCACTTTTATTGGTTTGATGAGAAACCGAGAGTGAAGACTTGGGTGAAGTTACAGTCACACTAACACAGTACACGCCGTTTAGCACACAGATAGCCCATTCGGGTTGAACAGCCCTGATTGTTCCAGCAATGATCCGCTGTAGAGTAGAAGAAATCATGTTACACGCACGTATGAGTTTCTGCCACCAAGAGGAGCACAAACCACTCACATGTCCAGTTGATCTCCAAGCAGTGTTCAGACCCGCTACTAGGCTCTCCTGAGCACCAGTTGGTGTAACTATACACAGATCCATCAGACCACAACCACTGTCCATCCTGAGTGGAGGAAATCAGATTAATGAGCAGACGGTTAACAGAACAGCATGTAAAGAGCATTAAATGGAGGATCTGGACAGACAAACTAGTCTGAGACCTACTTGTTCACCATCATGGCCTCCAATCCAGCAGCGTGTGGAGACCGGCACCAGACCCAGCAGAAAATCATTCTCGTCTTCATCATGCACAGAAGCCAGATTCCCTCCAAGACTCTGACAGTTTCTCTGAAGGACACATTTCTATTGTAAATGCTCAATCCAGAGTTTAGACGTTTCACTCAGATCATAAGTCACTTACAACTGCAGAAACACATTACCTCTGCTGTGACCCAGTTCACAGACCTGGAGAAAAACCTGAAGCAGCGAGAGCCAGACCCGCTCCAGCCTCTGGGGCATTGAACGCTCTCTAATATACAGTACAGAAACACATGCTTATGCTTTTATTGCCAGAAAAGTTAGTTATTAGTTTGACATGTTTAAAGAGATCTGTGTGATTATGGCTGATAAACGCACACACAATCTCTCTAAACATACACTTTTAACTGTGGGTTGATTGTTTACCATCGGCACCCTCCATGGAGAACACAATAGAAAGCAGCAGAAGACTCCTCAGCAGGAACATCATGAACCTGAACATTAACAGAAGAGAGAAGATACTTAGGAAAATGCTCAGTATAAAGCTGCTCAGCAGCTCTTGGTGTGTAAAATCACCTTGGTCTGCAGATGATCACCTTCAGTGAAGCTTCAGATGAAGAGTGTGTGAAGATGCTGAATCAGCCCTGCTGTCAAATACACTCACTGATCAACTCATACAGGTGATACAGATTGAGCTGAAGATCAACACAGCTGAAGGAAATTACTGACAACAACTGGAACAAACACAAACTGGGGAATATCGCACAAAGAAAAATAAGCGATTAAGCTGCGGTCACACTGGGCTTTTCCTCTCATAGACATCCATTTATCCGCACGTGAATGCATCAGACTGGAAACATAGGGTCATGTGTCAAGTTTCACTGGTTCGCAGTTTGCATTCACAAACTCTAGTGTGATCGCAGCTTTAAGGCTGAATTTAGCCTGGGCTCAGTTTTTCAAAAGTAATCCACTGGGATTTTGGATAAGGGATTGGATCAAATCTTAAAAATGGGTTTTTCAAAAGAAAAAACGGATTACATTATCGGATTAGATCACGTAATCCAATCTTGGTTTTGATCCAGATCAAAGTTTTACTTTGGGTTTTTCAGACCTTTTTTGTAGGATCTGGATCACTTTGATCCAAAAAATCTGGATTAAACTGATCCCATCAGAAGGGTGGATTCAGCGTGGATTTCATGCCCAAAAGTAATGAAAACTTACAAAATGTATCAAATAATAATATATTTGGATCATACAGAATTTAACAAGATATCCTATTTATTCACAAGGTTTTAATTGTATTTGTTCATCCGTCAGGCTACAGTGATTATAGGCTTTAATGTATTCAGCCTTTCAGTATAGGCCTGCAGCAAAGTAGAAAGTAGTAGTAGTTTGGCCTCATAAAGTAATCCCCCAAACAGCTGTCAAAATTGACCAAAAAGAATACATGTTATTCTGTCACTAAATAAAATATATATTCATCACAATGGAAAATATTTTTCTTTTTAGAATATTTATTAGTGATGCATGCAATCATTACAGAATTTAAAAAAATGCAAAGAATGGCAATCACTGATTTTTTAAATAACTTTCAGCAATTACAAAAAGAGACTGAAAGGGCAGAAGCACAGCTTCATCTGGCAGAGGAACAACTGACTCTGACCAAACTGCAGCAAACCAAGACCAGACTTGAGATCTGCCTCCTAAAGGCCACGCTCAGACAAGCTGCTCTCTCCACATCAGATGAGGAAGTCTGGAACTATTGTGGAGGTTTTGACATGTCTGTTTTTATATATATATTCTACATGTGAAACTTGTTATAAATGTCCTCACTGTACAGTGTTTGTGTTGTATTCTCAGATGAGCGGGCTGCTGAAGAGGATGGGCTGGGGTTTTTCTTGTTTTTAGTTTTTATTAAATGTGTGTGTTTTCATTTCAAATAAAAATAAAGTTATACTGACCCCACACTGGCTATTCTACTTGTTGCTCTTTACATATCTAGGGTTCTACATTGTGATTTCCTCTCCTGTTTGAGCTCAGGGCCCGTTTTTTCAAAAGGTTTAATCCGGATAAAATTGATCCGGATTAAGTAATCCTGTTTTTGCGATCCGTGATCACGTAATCCAGCTTACTTTCTGAGCCAGTTTTTCAAAGCAACATCGGATTGGATCAAAGTGATTCAGGATCACTAAATTCACCACATTTTGGGCATGAAATCCACGCTAAATCCACCCTTCTGATGGGATCGGTTCAATCCAGGTTTTTTTGGATCAAAGTGATCCAGATCCTACAAAAAAGGTCTTAACTAAAGATTTGATCCAGATCAAAACCAAGATTGGATTACATGATCTAATCCGATTATGTAATTCGTTTTTTCTTTTGAAAAACCCATTTTCAAGATTTTATCCAATCCCTCATCCAAAATCCCAGTGGATTATTTTTGAAAAACCGGGCTGTGGTTATCCAGATTTAGTGATCCTGAAAAGTTCCTATCCGGATCAGTTTGATCCAATCCAATGTTGCTTTGAAAAACTGGCTCAAAAAGAAAGTTGGATTACGTGATTACGGATCGCAGAAAAAGGATTTCTAAATCTGCATCAATTTTATCTGGATTAAATCTTTTGAAAAACCGGGCCCTGGACTCAGTTGCATGAAAGCAGACTAAATTAAGATTAACTAAATTATGTAGAGATTTAAGCTGCGGTCACTCTGGACTTTCCTCCCATAGACTTCCATTCGTACGCACGCGGATGTGTCAGACCGGAAACGCAGGGTCATGCGTTAAGTTTCGCAGGTTGCGGCGGTGCAAAGTTTAAGCTTGGTGAACTCTGACCTGCGAAATCGCATCACTTGACTGCGTGAGACCAATCGAGGATCAAAACATGACATCTCTGGACAGAAATGTAAAATATGGAGCAATCGCTCGCTTTTTTAATGTCTAATCATCTTGTTTACTCCCGCCCCTTTTCGCAGAGCCTTGCGACAGAATTTCACCCACACAAACTCTAGTGTGACCACTGCATTATCCTTTGCAGCTAGCCTGATCCAGTACAAGCTAACAACCTGGCTAAGATTAAATCCTAGTGATTTAGATGTTAGTTTCATCATCAATGCTTGAAATTAATATATTTTATAGTCATTCCATAATCCATTTACATTTATTTTCCAACAATGTATGTTTATTTGTATCAGCAATCACTTTAAATATATTCATATACAACCATTTCAGATTTGAACAGGCAGACGCCACAGCTTTGACTTGTTTCTTCTTCTTGTTTTTGGCGGTTGGCAACAAGCTTTTTGGAGCAATACTGCCACCATCTGGATTGGAGTGTGAATCAGGAGTTAACTAACCCATTGCTGCTTCCGAAACCGCATACTTCCATACTGTATAGTACGCTAAAATCAGTATGCGAGCTGAGTAGTATGTCCGAATTCATAGAATTCGAAAATCAGTACGCGAGAAGTACCCGGATGACTTACTACTTCCGGCAAGTCTGAAATGCGCATGCCATGCACTCTGCGCTATCCCATGATGCCCCGTGAGAGAATTCATGAATGGAAGTGAGGCGACGCAACTGATGCAGGTAGGTCACGTGACCCTAAGAAAATGGCGGATGTAGTACGTCCGAATTCCATTCATACTTTTCACATTCATACTGTGTAGAACGCACTTTACTAACGGCCGAGTAGTACGTTTAAATTCAAATGCAGTAACTACTGAGTATTAGGCGGTTTCGGACGCAGCCCATGTATTTCTAATAGTGAAACAAAGCCCCACAAAGAATATAAAACAAACAAAAAAAAATTCTATTGATTACCCTTAGTCAATAGCCTTTCCAATACCCTATTACTCAACCCTGTGTCTTTCAAAAAGTTATAAACATTTCTAAAACACACATGACATACACGTCTTCTTTCTGTTTGCTTTTCCTTGTTTCTCTACCTCTTACGACTTTGTTCTGTATGGTGTAATATTGACGACCTGTACTCCCATTATTCCATATATGTTGCCATTTTCCCAGTAGGGCCTACTTTAGACTTAAAAACACTTTTGATTTCTGACTTGCTGTATTTGATGTCCATGTCTATCATAGTTGCTTGTTTTGCCAACTTGTCTCTTTGACTTGTTTCAGTGTTCTCTGATCTTTCGGCCCAGTTTGTGTTTGTTCCAGTTGCTGTCAGTAATTTCCTTCAGCTGTGTTGATCTTCAGCTCAATCTGTATCACCTGTATGAGTTGATCAGTGAGTGTATTTGACAGCAGGGCTGTTTCAGCATCTTCACACACTCTTCATCTGAAGCTTCACTGAAGGTGATCATCTGCAGACCAAGGTGATTTTACACACCAAGAGCTGCTGAGCAGCTTTATACTGAGCATTTTCCTAAGTATCTTCTCTCTTCTGTTAATGTTCAGGTTCATGATGTTCCTGCTGAGGAGTCTTCTGCTGCTTTCTATCGTGTTCTCCATGGAGGGTGCAGATGGTAACCAGTCAGCCCTCTTTCCTCTTCTAAAAGCTTGTTCTCTTGTGTTTAGAGATTGTGTTCATCAGCCATAATCACACAGATATTATTGAACATGTAAAGTTAATAACTGTGCTGGGGATATCAGAGTAATCTTGTGTTTCTGTACTGTATAGAGGAGCGACTTAGCTGTGAAAGAGGCTGGAGCAGGTCTGGCTCTCGCTGCTTCAGGTTTTTCTCCAGGTCTGTGAACTGGGTCACAGCAGAGGTAATGTGTTTCTGCAGTTGTAAGTGACTTATGATCTGAGTGAAACGTCTAAACTCTGGATTGAGCATTTACAATAAAAATGTGTCCTTCAGAGAAACTGTCAGAGTCTTGGAGGGAATCTGGCTTCTGTGCATGATCAAGTGGAGAATGACTTTCTGCTGAGTCTGGTGCCGGGCTCCACACGCTGCTGGATTGGTGGTCATGATGGTGAACAAGTAGGTCTCAGACTAGTTTGTCTGTCCAGATCCTCCATTTAATGCTCTTCACATGCTGTTCTGTTAACCGTCTGCTCATTAATCTGATTTCCTCCACTCAGGATGGACAGTGGTTGTGGTCTGATGGATCTGTGTATGGTTACACCAACTGGTGCTCAGGAGAGCCTAGTAGTGGGTCTGAACACTGCTTGGAGATCAACTGGACATGTGAGTGGTTTGAGCTCCTCTTGGTGGCAGAAACTCCTACAGGAACATTTAAACGCCTCTTTGTCAAAGGATTAAAGTTTGTGTTTATAAGTGTGTGTACATGACAGCGTGATCACCACTGATCTAAACATGATTTCTTCTACTCTACAGCGAACCATTGCTGGAACAATCAGGGCTGTTCGACCCGAATGGGCTATCTGTGTGCTAAACGGCGTGTACCGTGTTAGTGTGACTGTAACTTCACCTGAGTCTTCACTCTGTTTCTCACATCAAACCAATAAAAGAAGTAAATGGTGACTGCTGTGGTGAATTTCTGTTATTTGAGAGGTTGTGGCTAGTGAGAAGTGTTCTGTTGAACTTAACAAAAACATCTTAAAATAAACTAAACGTGCCCTGTAGTGCAAAGATTCTAAATGTAATTATTCTCTATCTACCCAGTCGGTATGTGACTTGGATCTGTTTAATTCTCCAAAACTGGTTTACATGTTCCCTTTATCTAAGCTTATATTCCTAAAATCAGTGTCCATTATTGACCATATTTGGAAGGGTTGTGATTGAGCTTTTCTGATACTCCTGAGATTTTAATTTGTCACTCAGTGACACACTTTGATACAGTCAAACTTTGT